CATTAGTAGCAATTAAGGAAGGCTTGGTTTGGAAGACATACTTGGTATGCAGAAACAACTTTCTAATGTTTTGCATTGATGCCTATGTAGTTTACCACCTCAGTTCCAGGTACCAGTCTTTTTTTCATACAAATGTGTAAAATAAGAAACAAAGATGTAGACTAGTTGTGACCCTCAACCAATCCTGAAAAATGGATAATTTACTTTTTTATTTATATTGGTAAATTGGATCTTTCCTTGTATCAAGCCAAAGGCACAGTTTATAAAAGGGCAACAAGCCTTAAAGGAGAGGTACTCCTGTGAACTGCATATTCTAGTTTTGTGTATCTTCACATTTTCCATGAGGTTACATTAGTAGAAGTTTTGAAGAAAATTGGTAGATATATGTTGAACAGATAGTACACTCAATTACAAGATTAAATGCACAGTGGAATTTTGCCTCTTAAGATAGATCTGTGATTGTGTTAGTTAGCTTTTTGTTCCTATGAAAAAATATCTAAGAATAATAACTTAGGAATTGGATACTGAGGCTCATTGCAGTCCATAGTTAGCCAGCTGCATTGCTATAGTCCTGTAGCAAGACAGAATACCATGGTGGAAGGGTGTGCAGAGTGAGGCTGCTCACCTTATGGCATCCAGAAAGTGGGAAATGAGGTGGATGGGGGTGAGTAGGACCTAAAGTAGCTCTGGAAGTACTCTTTTTTGAATGTCTTTAGTTTTGCTATTGTGTCTGAATTGCCTGAATTGATTCAAAGTGGTTTCCTCTTATGGTCATTTTGACATTTTGAGGAAGAGCCAGAATTCACATTATTACCAAATTCAGTGAATAAGGTGAATAAGGAAATGCCATAATGTTTTTATCTGACAGAAATTGCTGCAAATAGTTGACTAAAGAAATCTAATAAAAGTATGAATGATGAAATTAAAAATTTATTACAGTAAGAGGCATATTTTCCAGCCTAGGATTTACTTTAGGGGAAGCATGGGTAGTTGGACACTTACATTGCCATAGCTTTTAACTATCATGAATAATGCTGCAGTGAACATTAGTGTAAAGTATCTATTTGAGTCTTTGATTTCAATTCTTTTGGGTTTATATCTGGGAGTAGAATTGTTTTGTGTAATCTGAAAATTATAATTTTTGTGTTATTTTTAATTTTGTTTTTTTTTT